TAATGGTGTAGACAAAGAAATTTTCAAGAGTATGTTACGAAGAAAGCTACAGCGGTACTACTACCGTACATTAACGAAGTTGTCAATAATAATTAATATAAAATTTTAATAAATAGTAAAAAGTGACTTCAAAAACTAAAATGAATATAATTATTTCCACATAACAGCTTTGGAATCGATGCTAAGATATAGAGTATCGAAAAACGGAGAATTATTAACATTTTATTAAATTAAGTTTTTTTCAATTAAGTTTCATTTTTTAACTCTTTTCAGTGGACAAAACTAAATCACAAACTCGAGATTACAGCTACGTAGCACGGCTCACTAAGTCTAGGTGACGACATCCTGTCACCCCCAATACACTGCTGCGCAATCTGCCGGAAGCATCCAGTGGTTTTATGCGCAAAATATCGTAGTGTTTAAAAGACAGGTGCTAGCAAATTATTCCACTCCATTGCTACACGCATTACGAACAATAAAGTTTTGTGTTCTCTTGCAATAGAGAATGCGATAAACAGTAAATAAGTAAAATAAGACGTTCGGACCGAATTCTTGGTGTCGACAAAAAAGAGAAGGCTTTCCACCCGATTGACCGATTGTAAAAGATAGAGGTCATAATTAAGGCGAAATAGTATCGTGGTCATGAGTGAGGAGCGGCGTTATGCTCCTGTCTTATTTCACGACATTTATTTTATTTTTATTTTTAAAATGAAATATACTCTTTTGTTGGAATATATACCCATAATTCCCCCATATAGACAGAATTCAATTGAAATTGCTGTAATTACATTTGAATAAGACTGCTTCTTCCCTTAATGGATATACCTAAAATTGTAAATTTTGAGGATATTATGCAAACTTTTTGTATCAAGCCAAAATATGTCAATCGTGTTTTGGCCGTCATAATTTACTAAGGAAAATCTTTAACTTTCATAATGATTTTTAAAAAAGTAAACTCGTAGTTTTTAATGACAAGAAATTAATTTTCTGCGCACCTATAAACCGTGAAAATCTGCTTTTGACGCCCATTTCACCTTAAACCATGCAATTCCTGCGCATATATCAATCACTTTTTATTAAATTTTTGTGACAAACGATGTTACAATCCACTAGAAGGTGAGTCCAGCTCTTGAACATCTACAACTAACTTGAGACAAATAAAGCACATACAGATAGCATTGAGAGAGTCGTTATATTTAACGGCTGTAAGTCATTATATTTTGAGGACTAAGATATAATGCCTAATAGGTTTATAATATCTAATAGAAAACGGTAAATATACTGGCTCTATACTGCATGATTTTCTTACCATCTGGAAAAAAATAGGGTGTAACGGGTAAACGGAATAGAAGTCTATGGCACTGATATTTTAGAATTTATTTTTATTTTACATTAACATATTATGAAACTAATCTATCAATAAAAACTGCTAATTGGGCACGTATTATTTTAATTTTTAATTTAATTATTTAGTTAATTTTTGTTGTTATTTTTGGTAGCGAAAGCTTACTTCAAATTAGTAGTATTTATTGATAGATCAATTTCGTAATATGTTAATGTAAACTAAAATAAATATTGTAAAATATCAGTGCAATAGGCTTCTGTTTCGTTCATCCCTATTTTTTTCCAGACAGTAAATAAATCATCCAGTATATCCTTCAGAGCGTAACACAACGGTACAAGTACTGCTATTTGGTGACAGAATTAGGTACCAACACGGATTTTTACGTGGTAGAGCCACGCTGCAGTTATATTATGGTTGTAGTACAAATGGGTCGGCTCGACCGGGGAAGGACCGCTCTCACAGAATACCAGCGTAAAATAGCAGCTTAATACTGGTGTGTTCCGTATGGTGAGTGTTGAGATCCGGAGACTCTTTTTACTGGAATCGAGGCATTCCATCTTAGTCCTCAGGGGTGACAACGCATTTGCATTTTGATCCTTATTTAAGGATAAATGTGGATGTCTGTGGGCCACAGCATCCACTTACCTACACGTGGACTGCGTGCTCGTTTGTCACTCAATAATATAAAAAAACTTCTAGGCAGAAACGAAATTCTACCATCTAGGGAATAGTGTGACACTCAATTTACAAAGCCTTGTTATGTCCAATGGACAGCAGAGCTTAGCGGTCAGAGTAACTGGCTAATACAGCTATGGTCCTAGACTATAATCTCAAATAAAGCCAATATTTGTGCAAATTTATCAATTGTTATTTTTCGGGTATACCTTTTTTTTAGAATGAGGGTGACAAACGAGCACACAGTCCATCTGATGGTAAGTGGATGCTGTGGCCCATACACATCTACATTTATCCTCGGCTAAGAATCAAAACGCAGATACGTTTTCACCCCTGATTGAATGCCTCGTTTCCAGTAAAAATGGTCTTGGGATCTCTACACTCACCATACGAAACAGAGCAGTATTAAGCTGCTATTTTACGATGGTATTCTGTGAGAGCGTGGTCCTTGCGCGGTTGAGCCGACCCATTCGTGCTATAACCATAATATAGCTGTAGCGTAGCACTAATACGTAAAAAATGTTGTGTATTCGAAAGGTTTACAGCCACAGTTAATTCAACCATAAAAACGCAAACAAATAAATTTAGTACTACGCGATAAAAGATTAAAGATAATAGTGCCGTAGTACCATTTACACATACTTATTTTATTTAGAGAATTATAAAAGTCGGACAATAACGTAGCAAAGAATTATTGCCGAACATTTATGTTATACACACATTTATTATGGTCCTATATTATGGTTGTTGTATCACAAATGAGTCGGCTCGACCGAAGTAGGACCACGCTCTCACAGAATATAAGCGTAAAATTACAGCTCATTGCCGCTTTGTTTCGAGTGATGTGTGTAGAGAACCTTAGATTTTTAGTGGATAGGAAATATTCCATTTCAATCCTCTCGGGTGACAACGCTTCCGCATTTTTATTCTTAATCAAGGATAGATGTAGCATCTTTGGGCCACAGTATCCACTTACTGTAAGGTGGACTGTGTACTCGCTTATCACCCATATACTATAAAATCGGACATAAAAATTTTGAGACGAATGGGAACCTCCGTTTTTGGAAGTCGGATGAAAAATATTTTGAGGCTATGTTAAGTTTAGCAATACGAATAGTAGCTACGCGCCGTATTCTTTCCTGCTGGTATAGGTTGTTAGAGATCGTCTATTTAAAACTGCACGCGCTTTCCTCGTACTTCTTTTATTAGGTCAAATATAGTAAAAATGCGAAAATCTACTAAAACAATACTAAGATATAGGGTGCGCAGATTTAGATTATAAGATACTTAATTCGGTAAATATAACAAAATCTACCAAGTTCGCTTTCAGTTTAAATATAAAGGAGATCTCTACTTTACTAGAATAATAAAAATGTATATTGGTCGAGAATAATCAGCAAACATATCCGACTATGCTTTGTTACAATAAGCTTCTCGAGTTCAATCAAACTACTTAGGTGTATAGATTATCAAGACACGAAGTGTCACGGTACGTTCTTGATAAGAGAAAACTAATAAATAACTGCCTAGCCACTTGTACAACTCAAATCATTTTTATCAATAACTAGCGATTCGACCCGGCTTTACACGGGTGTTTTCTGAATCTCAACAACAGCGCCACCTACCTGGTGTAATTGTAAATCTAAACCATCAAAGGACCCACTCAATCGCACACAAAAAAATTATCAAAATCATTCGAGCCGTTTAAACGAGACTAAAAGAAAACAATTGATTTTTATATATAGAGAAAATAAAAACATATATACATAGAATATATATATATATATATATATATATATATATATATATATATATATATATACATTGTTACGAATATTAACGGTTTTATCATTTAATCTTATAGATTTTTAATCAGAAATTAAAGTACAATAATAAATGACGGACATTAAAGAACAATAATATTTTTTACGTTGTAGAGCCACGCTACAGCTATATTATGGTTGAAGCACGATTGGGCCGGCTCGACCAGGGCAGGACCACCCTCTCACAGAATACTAGCGTAAAATAACAGCGTAATGTATGATGAGTGTAGAGAACCGGAGACCCTTTTTATTGGAATCGAGGCATTCCATCTTAGTCCTCAGGGGTGATAACCTATTTGCATTTTGATTCTTGATTGAGGATAAATGTGGATGCCTAATGTGCCACAGCATCCACTTACCATCAGGTGGCCTGTGTGCTCGTTTGTCACTCAATGCTATAAAAAAAACATGTTATAAAATACAAGGCGACTTCATAAGGTAAACTTGAATGATGTCTTAATAGTTACATTAATATCTCCATCACCTATTTTCCACTTTTAGGATGGAATATCTTCTTTGAATTTATATGGGACCACTCCTTAAGTATAATCTCCTAAATAAATAAAAAATAATCAATTGAGACGTTTCTAAGAAATAGGTGATCATACAAAAAAACATAAAGCGTAGAATATAGAACACTTTTGTATTTTTGAGTTCGGTTTAAAAGTGTATATAGTATAAACCTTTGCTGAAACTACGATGCAAGAATTGATGGTACATTCTCAAATTAAATTAGAAATTCAAATAAGAAAGAAAATTGTCTAACCCCATCCGTGTACGGAACAAGGTCGAGGCTTTCCGGGTAATAACTAAGAAATGACAACGCTGCGGTCGTGGGAGCCGCGTATTGCTACGTTAACCCTATTTGATCTCGAAAATTATCAACAACTACATTCGAAAGACCTTGTCTTGACCCCGAAAACAGAACCGTATCAGTTTTTACCCTACGTATCCCTTGCCGAATACTGTTGTGTCTAAAACAATAAAAACACATGATATCTACGAGAAGTGCTACGAGATTAAAAGCTTTTAATTTTTGACGCTATATTAAAAATAACAGTCTAGAGTTTTCTTATATATTACATAACAGATTTCGTTTAGTATACTCCAAAGGAAAAGATTCCATTTTGTGGTGAAAAAAGTTAAATACATCTCACCTTGATATAGACGTCTCGTTCGCACGGATTGAAGGTCGGGATGTCAGTAATTGCTGGGATACTGGTGCACTCGCGGTCACGTGCAACTGTGGCGGCAGACGTCGAAAGACTGAATACTCTGGGCCCGGCCAGGAGCCCTGCCCCTCGCCTGCCTTCACTCCACCCCCGCGCCCTAGCGGATAAACAACGTGCATTGTAGGCCCGATCTGCGGACCCGCTCCACTGAGTACACACACACCCGGCCCCATCGACTTTGCGCTGCTCATTTTGCGTACAGTACTAGTTCAATACAGAAGTATTAATTTCGACGGAAGCACTAGTAATACGGAAATATTGCTTTTTGAACAACAACCAATCACTCTCCAGCTCTTTATCAACATCATCGTCATCATACAGCCCGTCGCAAGTTAACTGCTGGGAGATCTCCCGTAGGACTACCATAAACGATATCTGACGGCTTCGTAGCGTAGCAATAAGTTGTAGCGCTAAAGGGCCGCGTGATAGAAATATTTGTATAGCCTACAAATATCTTTTCTGGGCCTGAATGTTTGTCCTTGTGAAATTTATGTATTTAAGCTGTTTTCACAATACAGGATAAAATCCGAGTCCGCCACACTAATGTTTTTTTTAAGAGAATTAAAACGTTGAATAAAACCTTAAAGCTCTTTATTAAATTAGATCATATTTAGAGAAAAATTTTCGTATATTATTTCTATCTATTCTATTTTTTAAATCAACTCTAAATTTTTTTATATCCTAAACTCTATAATGATTTCTTATATTTACGCGAACACTATACATTGATTAAAACTACTTTTTTATTCAAATTAAACGCGATAAAAATATCGCGTTTCATTTAAATGATTTTAATTCCCGACGTTTTTCGGGTGCTTTCCAGCACCCATGGTCACGGGGGACTGTGGTGACTGACGTCCCAATGTCAATGTTAACCCGGAGTACCTTCAGATTGTTCTTCCGATCTATGCAGAATAAACTTACTGTGTCTTGAAGTATTGCAGTGGTATGCTTGGGTTTAGTTTTATTTTTATGAATTACAGGGTCCCAATCAGGTAGTAGTACCCAGCTTCCTTCTGTATTGAAATTAGGATGTTTTTTACGTGAGGCTATTGAAATCATAATGGTCGTTTTCTAAATTTCTAAATTTGGTATCTTGCATTTGACGTGGAATTCTGAATTCAAATTAATGCAATATGATGTATTTTTTTAAACTGTTGAACTGTAATTATGATTAAATTGAAAATTCCAATTTATTCAAATATGAGGCATCGCAGCACAAATCCTTAAGCAGACGGAATGGGACATAATACCGTAAATGAACGCAGGGTACATTTTGATCACTGCAAATTTTTGAGATCTGAGAAGAACGCTAAGGCATCGAAATAATGTTCGTCTCATCTACAGTGATAGAGCCATGACGCTGTTAGTAGTATAGTTGTGGCTCGATCGGGGAAGGACCAAGCTCTCACAGAATACCAGTGAAAAATAGCAGCTTAATGCTGCTATGTTTCGTATGGTGAGTGTAGAGAACCGGAGCTCCTTTTTACTGGAAACGAGGTATTCCATATTAGTCCTCACGGGTGACAACGCATCTGCATTTTGATTCGTAATCGAAGATATATGTAGATGTCTATGGGCCACAGCAACCAATGGAATGTAAGCTCGTTGGTCTATAAAAAAAATTATTGGAGTGACTAATTTGACAACCATGTTATGTCTTTATTTTTTATATATTAGAGGGCAAACGAATTTACCTGATGGTTGGTGACTACGGCCGCCTATGAATATCTTTTTTACAGACTGCATATGCGTTGCCGTCATTTAAAAAAGTAGGATCTAATCTTGAAGGTCCCTTAGTCATATTGGTCAGGGAAAATCCCTGGTGGTATTCGATTCTACAAGGAATCCGATTCTCTCGCAGATGCTTAGTTATAACGGAAGCATATTTGTTACTGACGATCAGAATCATTACCATTATCATCAGCGCATTGCAAGTCCACTAACATGAATTTACTACAAAGCACAGTCCTGAGCCACCTTTTGACCTCCTGCAGCAGTCGTCACTCCATATAGTGGGGTCACCCAACACTACGCTTGCCAGTACGAAGTCGCCACACGAGAACTAAATATGTTATATACTTTACCATATCGGTTATAGGCTCTTCGTAGATGAGCACGAATTTTAGATAGCTTAGATAAATAGAAGTAGAATAGAGTATAATCCTATTTTACAAAAGTATTAAACCTTTAGAAGCCTTCCCATCTAACCGAGAGAAAATAAATTTTTGGAAATATTAACCTAAGCAAAGCAAAAAAGGTCGAAATAAAGACGCTCTATCACGAAAGCTACTATGTTTACTGGTTTCTAATTCTAAAAGTCATTTAGAGTCATTTTGGAGTTTTATAACACTGAAGAAGTTCGCCGCACTACTTTAGTACTTGGGCGGTTTAAGCATGCCCTCAGTTTTTTTTTTATATATACAGTTATTCTTTCGCCATCTTATTACACAACGTGGTTTACTGATAAGCTTACGTTTAAGTTATAGTTTAAAAAAAAGTTTCTTTAACAGTTTAAGTCTAACATTAAAGATTAACTACTTTTTGTAAGCAGACGGGCGATGTTTTTCTATACAACCAAGCACTTAAAATCGCAAAATGATAAAGAATCCTTTAAAAAATTATGATATCTAATCAAATATTTATTTTTGTAATATTGACAAATGAACGTACAGGCCACCCAATGGTATGAGGCTACGGGCCCATGGACACCTGTTACCAACATTGAATAAATATATCCAACTGCAAATAATGAAGACTAGAGATGTGTTGTCACTTCTAAGGACTAAAATAAGTCAGTACAGTATAAAAGAGAGGCAGTATAATCACAGGTTTTGTAAAATATACAAAATATAACCAGCTCAGAGTCCAGAAACTTTATTAAACTAAGTTTGTATAGAAAGAGTTATTATAATATTAAGGGATTTATGGATGATAATAACACCTGGGAATAAGGTGATCACTGCAAAGTAATTTCTGATTTGTTATGTTGTTAATTGTATAACATATATGATTGTAAACTGTTCTTTATTTTTTTCAAAAACACAATTCTCTCTGCGTTTGTTAATGGTTCTTCCCAGGACAGAGGTATTTTCCGAACCAGTACTAAATTAAACACAAGAGTGACTTTCAATAAGTATTATTTATAATTTATATTGAATTTAAAAGAAATTGTTCCTGTTTCTGTGTAATTATAATTATAATAATCTCCTCCTGACCGAAATTTGATCACGGCGGCCAGTATCAACGGATACTACCCATCGGCGCAGGACAGGATTATCGTGCCCAAGTATATGCGCAAGCACAGGTGCACTCTCTATTCCCTTACTCTCAACGTCCGATGGAACGGTAAACCGACACAACTGGAGAGAAATCAGGCGCAGGACCAACGGCTTTACGTGCTTTACGAGGCACGGGAGTGAGACACCGCTAACTTCCTGACTCCGGGCAGCTACTGAGAATTTCTTATTGGCAAAACGCAATAACTGATATTTTTGGCCCGACCCGGGATTCAAACCCGGGACCTCATGTTCAGCAGTCGCACTACTACAACCACTAGACCAACGAGGCAGTCAATATATTGGCTCTGTGCAATTATACTGGCTCTATGAACAACCAAACCAAAGCACACACACAGAAATTGGTAAGAAGTCGGTACATACACAGTTGAACTCCTAGAGAGTAAAGAAGTACTACCAGCTAGTAGACTTATTAGCTTATAATATAACTTAACATAATAAAACGTAATATAGTATAAAACACAGTTTATTTTATACGTGGTAGGGCCATGCTGCAGTTATAATAGTTGTATAGTTGTAGCACGAATGGGTCAACTCGACCGGGAAGGACCACGCTCTCACAGAATACCAGCGTAAAATAAAAGCTTAATGCTGCTGTGTTTCGTATGGTGAGTGTAGAGAACCGGAGACCCCTTTTTACTGGAAACGAGGCATTCCGTCATAGTCCTCACGGATGGCAACGCATCTTCATTTTGATTCGTAATTGAGGATAGATGTAGATGTCTATGGGCCGCAGCAACCACTTATCCTATATGAAAACATTGCTTCCCGCCGTCTGCACGCTTAGATCTAACTATTCAACATAACATTTTGGTGTGAAGATTTTGATGTGGTTTTCATCACTAGACAGAATGATTTAAGAGGTAGATTTATATGTACAATACATGCATATGTTGTCGAGATCCAAAAATCACCCGCGTGAAGCCGGGGTGGATTTTGTAATAAGAGTCTAATGTACAACTTGCCTCGAAACACCGTCTCTACACTTTCTCAGAAGATTTCGTGTAGATCACTACAACATTCACTCATTGAATAAAACTAAATTTACATTAATTTAACATTCACTCACATTAGTTAAGAGGCTAAGCGCGCGCTGTAAGTTTCAAATATGCAAGCAACCCGGGTTCTATCTTCAACTTCAGCTTTAGAATTTCAGCGCTGCATATTACATGATCTTGAATTATTATAAGTATAATTCTTTGAAAATGCTTCACATTATATATATATATATATGTATAAGAAGTGAGAGAGGTGTGTCAAGATCGTGCCAAATGAAAGTCCGTAGTGTCTGCCTACCCCTCTGGTATGGGAGTGTTTATGTTATATTATGTATGTATGTTACATTTCTTTTCGTATCATTTATTTACATAACATTAAAATATTAATTAATAACAATTAAATTTTTTGTATATTTTATTTAACTAATAAGGAGATTTAAATACGATCTCTAATCCTCAGCATTTCTCTACCACGTTTAAGAGGTAGTTATAAATGTTTAAGTTGGTGCTGATACGTAGTGTAGGTATTGAAGAATTAAAAATCAACTGCAGAATGTACAATTATTCCATAATTTATATTTCTTTGAAGTCGACTTTTACTTTTTAATAAGAGTTATTTTTTTACTCAATGTTATCACAATAGCTATATTAAAAACTTCATCCACTATTAAGAGCAAACTTTACCTTAATTTACTCTATATTTATATTATATCACTCTAGATGTATTGAATATTAATATTAAAAAGAACCTATATAATAAGAAAAAATGTCATCGAAATTGGTTTTAAAATTGATGAAGGTATCACGTAACAAACATACATAAAATATGTCGATATGTAAATAATTTTTGAAGTTGGCTAAAAATATGAAAAAATATGAAAGTTACAGCTTATT